GCTTTTCTTGCTTCCATCATAAACGAGAACCTCTTGCGTGCGCGGCTTTGATTATTATGGATGCATCCGAATGAATGGTTGGTACAGAAGGTGTCCCATTGTTTGTTATGGAGTGCTACCTAAAATATGTAATATCGTCGAGTTTATTTTGGGCTTAATAAAGTGGTCGTGGGCGACGCCGTGAGATGAATGCAGGATTTACATACGATCCTCTTGTTGTTTCGGGGGCCCAACGTTCCCAACGTGGCGGCCACCTACATTCGTGTTGCAAAGGATAAATTCACTCGGGGAGAGAGGAGAGAAGAAGAGAAGAAATGAAAACAAAACAGAAACGATGGACCGGAGGATGGCCGGATAAATAAACAAAAAACGAACACCCAACCCCAATTCCGGGGCCGCATTCTTTTCTGTTTCTTCGCGCCGCTTCATTCTTCTCTTTCTCTCCATTCCTTTCCTTTCCTTGATCATCAGCCCGTAATTGTTCTTACGCATTCAACAACAAAACAACGTTTAGAAAGCTCCACAAATTGCGTTGCGCAATGCGACGATTGCTTAATATTCTAACGTTTGCTTCTATTTTCGATTACCTCCAAAGATTCACGTAGTCTGGATCAAGCAAATCAAGTTGACTAGATCCGCCTACCTCTACACAACACATTCCAATTTAAAATTTTCAAATAAAAAATATTCAAATTCAATTTTTTTTAATTAATTTTCAAAAACAAAATGAAATTTTTCTAAATTTCGCATTTATTATATAAAATTTAGTAATATTTGTATATTTCAATTATTATTCACAAGCAATTTTATATAATTATCATCTATATATAAAATAATTGTGAATGTTGCACTTTATAATCATTCATGATTTACTCTTCCATTACGAATCTTAACTCAAATGTAAATGTTTTTAATAGAAATTATGTATAGAAAAACAATCTAATTTGTAATCTTAATATTCACAATCAGCGTAAATCAAATTAATTTGTATACTAAAACTATACAATTTTTTTTTAAATTATTATTAAACTTAGTAAATAGAATTGACAAGCAATTTTATATAACTATCATCTATTTAAATGAGTAAAAAATATAATAATTCTAAATGTTCCATTGTGTAACGAATTTCAACTTAAATGTAATAAAAATAATAATTATTATTTTTCAATAAATTCTTTCGATAATGAAATTGCGGAATAATTTCCTGCCAGTTGTTGGTTAGAAGCGATGTGAAAACAAGGTGTACATACAAAAAAAAAGACTACATTTAACTCAGTTTGAATTAATAGCGTTTTTTTTACATTGTTGTTGTTGTTGCCCGGTTTAATTAAATCAGGATTGTGTAAGGAAAAGCAAAAAAATGGCCGCAATTAATAGTGAAGGAAGANNNAAAAATATAATTCAATTAATTCTAAATAACTTTAATTAATTATTTTATAAATACATATGTAAAGTAAAGTGAAAACAAAAATATAACTCAATCAATTAAAAATAACTTATTTTTTAAGTGAAATAATAATCTGAAATCTTATGTAACGTTGGGAATTGTGTATATTACTAAAAAAAAAGTATCTTTAAATCAAGCTGCGTCTTATACAATGAAGTATATTTGTTATCCCTTTGCAATAACACAGATGACCGTGTACAGAGTGTGTGTGTATATCGTAATACCTCATTTTTTCTCGCTCCGCATGAATCACAGCGATAAAAGCTTTATCAGAAACGTCAAATAGCCGCCGGGTTACAGTTTTTACGTTATTTCGCTTCGTGCAGTTTTCGGTTACTTCACACGATTTCGTCGACGTTTTGTTTCTGTTGCTATTTAATCCTCCATTACAGCACACATCCACACAACCATCTGCATCTCTTATCGTCGCGACCTTGCGACACATGTGACATAGGCGACGTTATCGCGAGGCAGTGCGGTGCACTTTGCAAAATCGCCACGGATTTTTCTGGCCTTCTTTATCACAGAAAAAGTCCGTCGATCGAATAATAATAATTAACTGATACAGTCGACGGAGCAAAACAATTTGCATAATAAATCCAACACATACACATTCATATTATATACATATATGTACAAATACATAAAGAACTCTAGACTCGTGCGAAATGGCTTTTGTCCGTTCTTATTGTTAGTCACCTTCGGCGATGATTCCATTTGGAGAGGGAGCATGTGATATAATGATGATGTTCGTGCATGTGAGTGCATCTATGCACCTATATACCTATCAACGTGTGTGTGCTGATATTGTAATTTGCCGGGGCTTAATTAACTACAGTCGAATAGTGCATAATCAGCGCAATTTGCGGCCATTCTATAAATATTGAAATCCGTGTTTCGGGGTCCCCGGACAGCTGGCACCGCTTTTTGTTCTTCTTGCTTTAATTTCTTCGCTCTCAATTTTTTTTCCGTCCCTCTCTAAACGATTTAGCATAATTCCAAAAAACCTTCTTCAGAGCTCAGGTATATATCGCTGTGCATCTTTACTAATCATTAATAAAGAAAAATGTGCTTCTAATAATTTCTCAAACTTTACTACAAATCATTCAAGATCACGTTTTGAAAATGCGAAAGCAATAAAGAATCGATCCGAAACTAATGTTTGCAATTTGCGGTAACATAAATATATATATATAAAACGAATCACTGAAATTACAGTATTCAAAATGAATACTAATAACAGGATTATGTTAGTTTTTGAAGCATTAAATATTATTTAATTTTATAATAATTATATTAATTAATTCAGAGATTAGATTTAATATACGTTATATTTAATAATTAATTTCAATCATTAAAAATTACAATTATTTATATTAATTCAATTAAAATAATACTTAAATTTTCATGTATTAAATTAACGTATTTTATAGCCGTATTATGCACATTAACTTAATAAAATATTGTCCACTTCGACAAAATTATATGATATATATAAAATTATGTTAATAAAATTATCATTTATTTAATATACGAATAATTAATTGTGAGTTAAGATTTATCATCAATTTTCAAATACAAAATCAAATTAGTTTTGATTTACGTTAATGCAATTATTTAACTTATGTAACATAAATTATCGTTAATTGTGGTATGTTGAATATACGGAAAAAAGAGTAAATCTTGAGTATTTATTTAATTTATTTTGACATTAAGAGTTTCAATAATTGTAGTTGAACTGAACTGAAAAGCTGCTCAGATGATTACTATAAACCTTGACTTTTGCGAAAGTTTTGCTCTACCTTTTTCTATGCATATTACTGTGATATATTGATATGAAATAAAAATAAAATATATTATGCGGTAATTGCATTAAATGTATTTTTTTTATATTATTATTGAAAATTAATGTATTGTGAATGTTTGTTAGTTGATAGATATTATTGATTTGTTATATGGAAAATTGCAATTCCAAGTAAATGTTTTTCTTTTTTTAGTTGATGAATAATGATTAATTTAGTGAACTGTTAGAAATGCATTAAAATTGTAGATGATTTCAATTACAGTACGAAGCATGCATTCAACGGTGGCTATGGTAGTATATTAATATCAGTATCTTGGAGCTTCCAATAAATTATTACAGAACTGTACTCATGATTATATACAATATGGTCTGAGCGATATTGCGCACCTGGCGATGGCCGACGTTGTCTATTGGAGGAAGGGCGCAAAAAAGAAAAAGAAAGGAGAGAAAAACAAGAGGTGAACGAAATGAAACGAAAAATCCAGACACGTGCAAAATGGAACAACTTACGTGTCCTTCTCTATCGATGAACGTTAGTTAGTTAGTTACAAAAATTATGTTAAATTGTCTATAACTGTGTAATGAGTCTGTCAGGCAGATCGTTATGCGTAATGGTCGCAACATACGACAGTCGTGAGTTAAGAAACCGCAAAGTGGTCGCATTCGCATTGTCTGTGGTCGCACCGACACATGTCCGATGGCCAATTAGCATAGAATGGTTCCGTGACAAGATAGAGTTTTCGGTGGTGAGCGAACGACATACGGCGTGATATGTTGACAAGCGAACGATTCCAATTTGTTTCCGTACCTTCCTTCTCACGTGAGGACTTATTCTTTTCGTTTTCCCTTCAACATGATTTTTTTTTTTCATTTTGTGCATGTCCTTCTGGTCTCGTTCCGCTCTTTGTCTGCTGGAGGGGCAATCCCTTCCGATTGACATGCGATAGATGGATTGCGTGCAACAGCTATCCTCGAAGACATCGGGAATAGCGTGAACGATAACATTATTTCCCTCCCCCCGACGTGGGTATGGGTATGGTTATAGGTAGGTGGGTAGGTACGTAATCATCACAAATCACCGGGCGCGAAAATGGAGCGACTCCTCGGCGACGAGGTCCGAGCGGATCGGGTCGGATCCGTGCGGACAATGGGAACAAAAGGCCTCGGATCGATATAAATAAATAAGCGGCGGAGAGATTTAGCGATGCGCGATAATCACCAATTTCAATGGTAATAAATTAGCATTAAACGTACCTAAATAGAGCTTGATTAAATAGGGTCCGGGCGATAAATCATCGATATAAGTTATACGGTTAATGGTATGCAGGTGAGCGAGGAGAGAAGCGCCGCGGGTCGCAGAACCATACACCGGACAAAAGCCATTACCACCCCAACTTCTGCGGACGACACGCGGCAATTACGCAAAACGGTCATGATGTTATCGGGGAATTCTGGGCATGTCGCTCATCTGGGACGTTCGGTTTTTAATTAGGAGCTTCGCGCGCGCGAAAAAATCTTGATACGCTATTGCGGCTTCGGTTAGTCATGGCTCCCATCCCGATAATGGGAACAATTTGGTGCGTGATAAATGGGTGGAAACGTATTTGGGGAGTTATTATCGTCGCGTTAAGTGGCTGCCAAACGGTTGTCAACTCTCTCCGCCGCCGTTTCGCTACGGATTTTAATCACGCTCTCCCATACACTGGGTCTCTTCTCTTTTCTTCTTCGCTATAATAGGGAGGCACTTACGTTGAGGGGTGGCCGGAGAGGGTGCGTGGCGGCCAGCATCGCCGACGGCGGCAACAGTTGCCGATCTATCTCCGGCATCAGCGAGCTATAAGGCCTCGGAGGACCTCCCCGTGTTGAACTACCACTCGTGTTAGGCATCAGAAGCATTGAAGATCGACGTGTATTCAGAACATTCGTAAACCACAAACAAACTGCCTCATCGTCACCACTTCAAACGAACAACTGATCCCGGATGCACCACTTCCAACCAGAAGACGAAGTACATAAATAATGATGATACTACTATAAACAGTAGTTGTCGCAATAAAAATAAAAACAAAACGAAAATTTTAAACAAATGCCTGTCGTGAGGTCAACTGCGGATCACGCGCACAACTTAATATCGGTAGAGCAGTCTGGGGTGGTCGGGGGTGTCGACGTTGATCACATCTGATGTGCCAGCGTTTTCATGCCCGGTAAAACACATGCTCTGTATTCAAATGATTGATTCGTGCACGGTTCGAACGCGCGTTGTTGCACCCGCCGCAGCGGTAACTTGCAGTACTAAAACCAATTGCTGCCCCCTTCCCACCGGATCCTTCCTTCCTTCGCGGTTCGGACGCGGCCGAGCGCGCGCGGCAAAAAACGAAATTTCCTTCTTACGTAATTAATTTCATCCTCATTACCCGATCATCCGCCAATGCAACAGAATCATCGATAGCGACAGCAACACAAGCGACAACTTACCACTTCCATGAGGCCCGAGGTGGTAGCGTACTGCGGCGGCAAACTGGCGGCGTCCTTCTGCTGGGGATGATGGTGGTGGTGATGATGGTGATGGTGGCCGGGCACCGCCGGGCTGCGGCTGCCGCCTTCGCCTAAGACGCCGAACAAGAAGACGCCTCGATTAATTCATGCGACTTAAGTAACAATAAGACAATGCCTCCTATATTTAGAGCGGCTTTTGTTGCGTCTCCGTTCGCTATCGCGCATCTATTTCTGCTCGCAACTCTCAGATGACATATAGCGACTGCCATTATTCTTTTGTTTTCTTCTTCTTTTTTTTTTCTTTATTACTACAATTATTATTATTATTGTTATAATTATTATTTCCTTTTCTGGAGTTGAACTGAAGAAGCGATAGGCTCCGTCTATAAATATTACGATGCAAGGAAAAGTGGAGCGAGCGGTCGCGATCTCCAAAGTTGCTCGCGACAATGGTTGGAGGAGAGGAGAACGCGCACCGCTTTATCACCACCGTCGTTCATGATTGATTTATAAGAGTAAACAAGTGATAATGTTTTGGGTCAGCTGGAAAATGGTTCTTTAAATGGTACTCGGCAGGGTCGTAGGTTACCCGTCTATCTTGTGCATGCTGCACATAGCAATTAGTTTCCAAGTACTCAATATCCCTTGTAATGTCAATAATAATTGTCAATAATAATTTTATTTTTCAAGAATATAATCTTATATATAGAGAACTGAAGAAGCATTTGTTTTTATTAATAATTTAAATTATCAATATGTATTTATTTATTATAATTATTGATAATCTTAATAGTGATTAATAGGATTTTTAGTATATTTTTTTAGAAGTTATTAACAATATGTGAATGGAGCTCTACTGGTGGTCGTGCATTCGGACTCACCGTTCTTCATAAAGTTCGCCGCCGAAAAGAACTGCATCTCGTTCTCAGACATTCGGCGGAGCACATGTAAACATAGTCGCTGATGATGCGAGTTTGTTGGTCGTCGTCCGTGTGCGATTCACCGTATTGCGTCCGCACCGTCCAGACCGGAGTCCGTTGGACACTGAGGGGTCAAGGGTCGTGTGGACGCCGGGCGTGTCACAGCGTCGCGACGGCCTATGGTCCCCCTCGGACGCACGCATGCGCAACCATGGGGACAAGTGACAGTCGCTCCTGCAGTGACAATTCCTACCGGCCCCGCCTCTGCGCGATCTAAATGCGCTGCCTCCACAACATCGTCTCAACCCCCCTCGATCCAACCAAAATATCTCTGCTCTTCCTCTATTCTCAAATAATATATATTATATAACTGAATCTAGGTGTCTTTTAGCAAGCAAATTCCCGAACGTTGCTGCGTTATTCGGTAATAACTAATAGAGCAAGTAGTAAGTATTCTTATATAATTCGTGTTCTTGTAGATAGTTTGCTGATCTTGCAGATCTCGCGAGATGCGGGAGCGGCGGAAATGCGCGATCCGCGAATGCCGCTCCTCACGCGGTCCACGAGGACGACATATCCTCCCGGCCCGTCCCCTCCAGGTAGCGGCGGTCCGGAGGCGTAGAGGCAGGTGACACACATCGACACGCCTCGCGCCTGCGCACCGCCCCCGGTGACATCCCCACTTTTCGCGGTGACAACACGACAAGCCGAATCCACCTGTCCCATTGGTCTCCATACCATCCAATGTCCTCAGCACCGACTGCCCCCGGAATGCCGTGGCACGGAGCGGCGGGAGGCGCATGAGCCGCATCGCTATACTAATTAGCTCCATGACTTATTCAGATACCGGCGGATATTTTCGGCGGACTCGTTCACAGGATCCGCACGTGAATAATGTGCCTCCAACGAAGGCGGCGGCGGTGGAGGCGGCAGCGGCACCGACGGAAGCGGCGGCGTTTCGCGCAAACTGACGAAACGGAGCGCATCTATCCACGCGGCGACGGCACCACCTAAGTGATCGAACTCTGACCTTTTTTCAGCAGTAGCGAAACTATGGCTTCGAAATCATAATGCACAAACACTCAAACTTTAGTCTTAAGATACTTGACAAGTACTTAGCAATTTGTGCAATAGAAATAGTAGTTAAAGCAACAATTTCATAAATAAATAAGTTACTTTTAAAATGGTTTATTTAAAATTCTGGTAAAACAATCATTTTTTGTTTTTATTCACATATTTTTCAGTATACATTTTTGATGAAATGTCTATGAAATATTTACAATTTTTAATGTTATATTTTCAAAAAATGTGAATTTGTTTCATCGGTTATTAAAAAATGTGTTACACTTTTACAATTCCATAAATAAATTAGTTACTTGTATATTATTTACATTTGCACTCATTTTACTATAATTTCCATATATTTGTAGTTTATTTAAAAAAAAATAGAAAATGAACATATTTTTTTTTAGAACAATCACAAAGACTATGAATTACGTATTTAAAGTTGCATCAAATGCGACATGT